CTCCCACAGTTGTGGGTTATCTTAAAGATGCTACCACATGTGCGCAGCTTTTGCACAATACCACAATGTTGCTGGTCCTCTGAATCCTGGTGCTTCTACTGCACATGATGGGTAAGTGTAAGCCTGGTGTAGTCCAGCTGTTGATGAAGGGAAAAATGGATGAATGGTAAAAGCGATCTCCTGCCACTACTTTTTTCTAGAGGTGCACCGAAATAGAAATTTAAAAACCGAAAAAAAAACAAAATAGAAAAAATTGTCAGGCCGAAACCGATACCGAAAATGTTTTTATTTAAATTTTTTTAAATATTTACAGAGGAGAGCCCAGCCTCCCGTGACAACGCTGGCTGTCTCCACCCCCACACCACTCTGCCGGACTGTGATAGGCGGCCTAGCGGTGTGGGAGGAGAGACACCGGCCGCTCACAGTGCTCTTGTCCCGCAGCGCTAGGCCGGCTGTCACTTTCTCTCCTCCCCGCTGGGACACAGAGCAGCGCTCAGCTGGGAGGAAAGAAATCACGGATGCGCTAATGTATTGGCAGGAAAATTGCACTTTTGGCATTTAGCCAAAAGTGCAATTTTCGGCCGAAATGTTTCGACGGCCGATATATCGGTGCATCCCTACTTTTTTCTATGCCTGTCCCCTCTGCCCGCACACTACCACTGCTGTAGTGAAGGAGGAAGCACAGAAAAAGTTCTGGCAGGAATTTGGGAAGTGTACTCTCCCCAACACTACTGAACATTACTGGACAACTGAAATATTCTGCTGTCTTCATCCCAGTACTCTGGTTTGCTTATGAACTGCTGAGGAAACAGAAGGCATGTAATTGCTGCAAATGAATGAACCCTAAATTGATTGTGGACACAACACTGGTGATATTGGCACTTTAGCCAGTATGTGGCTTGTATGCGCTCAGTTCTGTCTCCTCCACAAGCGTCAGTGTGTAGCTCCTCCCCTACGCATTTTGTCCAATGGACTTTCTCGAGAGAAGAAAAGTCCATTGGATGAAACGCTTAGGGGAGGAACTACACACTGACGCTAGTTTATGGAGTGGAGGAGACAGAGCTGAGTGCATACAAGCCGATTTTATGTTTTTACAGCGCTGAAAAACTCTTTTAAATGTAAGTGTTCTGATTTTATTGAATAAACTATCATCTAGCAGTTTTACACTATGTGCCATCTTTGTTTTCTATTTTGAGCGGATAAGAGAGATTTGGGAGAGACATCGGGCACACTCATCATTTTCAGCTGTTGGTGATTCGGTGGAGAGGGAGACATCGGACACCAGGGAATTTTGCAGAGCATTTAGAGACCACCTGGGTGGTCAGAATTATCTGGTGAGTGTGCTAGTGTTTGTGCACCTGGAGGTGGATCACTGTTGGTTAATTGACGAGGAATTGAAGCACAGAAGTCACAAGTGATTGTGGAACTTTATATGCAATGATCATTTGACTCACTGATGTAATACAAAGAAAGTGAACACAAGGATTTCATTTTTATATGGACTATATATAAGGTGGAGTAAACATTTTTGTATAATTGTCACTAAGTATATACACTAAGGCCCCATTCACACTGAGCAATTCGCAAATCGCGCGTTTGTCGCACGATTTGCATTTTGCGCGATATCGCGCAAATGGCTGCATTGAGCAACCTAGAATCGCGGCAAAATCCGCTCCAAAAAGGGTCCTGCTGTAGTGACGCACGACCCGCGACAGCGACGGACAGAGCCCCATTGAGATGCATTGGAGAGCGATATCGCGCTATAAATATCCGCGATCCCGCGCGATAAATCACTCAGTGTGGGGCCTTAGAGTTTTATAATATTAGAGATATCGCAGTTTCTTTTGTTTAATATATTGTGGGAGAAGTTAATATAGCTTCTCTCTATCTCTGCCGCTGTCAATGGGGTGTTATTGAGGATTTTGGGGTAGAGCACCATAGCGCGGATATACATTTGTTTTGCAATATATGCAGAGAACTCAATCTGGCAAATGGTAGTTGTTACAGTTTGGAAGACTTGTAATAGAGAAGAGTTTGGAAACCGGAAGAATGTTATGGATTTTTGCAGAAATGGTTTATAAAATGCAATTTCATCTTTACATTTTAATTTAATCATTTCTATTCAGGCCGAAGTTGCAAAGCTATTTCTCACAACTGTAAATCAGCTCTTTTATTTAAGAGGTAAGAGAAAGTTGCGGCTAGTATATCTTAAGAACAATAAATCATTCACAAAAGCAGTGATTCACAAATCAAAATGCATGCAGTGTTTTTATTACATGTGTTATTTTCTCAATTTAACGAGCAATTTTTGAATTAATTTAAGTTTTTAGTACATGTATTTGCTGAATTGACCTTATTCATTTCTATATATTGTTATATTATTGATTTTGTAGTATTCTTATTATCGCACAGGTTTTTGTTCCTTATAATTCTTTTTTCTTTATTTGGATGTTATGAAGGCTGGGAACAAGCCTAGATCTACACCTAAGTACCGCTGGGCTGGCTATCTATGGACCAGCCTGTAGCAGGTATTATATCATATCATTCAGGGACACATTTTATCAAACCACAGCGTGCAGCGAGGGCCACAGGCATCTGACACACACAGAAGTGTGGGATACTGAAGACTCCAACTGCTGGCATAGATCTGCTGGAGACGGTTGGACACACACTGGCGGCGAGCTTAAAGGATGTTGCTGGGGCCAAGTGGGAATCATCTTTGCCTTATGATTAAAAGTTAAGGGCTACATCAGATGTATCTGTGGACCTGTGGCATCTGCCTTTCCATCATTATATGATCAATTAACCCCTCTCACCATAATTGATGTGACTTCAGCTCTTTCTGAATTTCCATTATTTGAGGGTGCTTACCTCTTTGTCTTGTGGCCGTTACATCATGTGTGCAATCACCAGCTCTGCATGAGAATACCTCCATTCCCGATGAAGCGCGGAATGCGCGAAACGCGTTGAAACTGTCAAGTATCCATTCTCTAGGTTCCAGATAAGGCCATACATATGATATTTGTATTGTGTATTACTTTATTTAATCAGTCGTTGTTCAAATCTTAAACAATGTTGGGTTCTTGTCTGTATGTTGCTTAATCATGTTTATCATGCCTTAATTCATGGAACAGAGTGGGTGCTGGAGGTTTTTCTAATAGGATACATCATAGATTTTAACCCTATGCTTTTATGGCCATTTCATTCTTTTATACTTTTTGTATCTAAATAAAATAATATTTTTACTCAAGCAATTTTGTGATTCATTGGTACTTGCCGCCTGGTGCCCTAAAAGCCCCATCTTTTCTTTGCTTTCTTTTTTACATAGATCTGCAAGAAGTAGAAATTGGATTCCCTGGGAATGGGACTGGTAAGTATTAGACATGCACTTTAGCAGGCTGCTTTTTCTTTTTTTATTTGCAACAGAGTCATTATTCCCGCCTAAATTGAACACCCCTTATGCAGAAGAAAGCAGACAGAAGAATGACAATCTGAATGGAAGATTCCATATTTACCATTCTAATAAATAGAACATAAATTTAAAAACATATATATTTTCGCTGTTTTTATAATTTTATGCTAATTAATTAGATTATTTTGATTTTTAAATAATATTTTGAAAAAGCACTGTGTACTGCCAAGATTTTTTGGAAGAGTAAAAAGAGCACTTGCTGCCAACACTGCCTCTCTTAAAAAAAAAAAAAGAACTAACATTACTGAAGAAGCCACCTACCCTGATTCTGAAATAAAAATGCTTTACATTTACTTTGAATTGCTTATGTGAAATAACAGTTTGTATATTAATAATGTTGTTGTCAACCCAGGACGAGACTGAGTTCTTTTATGAATAGGTGATTTTATTGACTATAGAGCAATGTTGTCCATATTGCTACACATGGATACAAGAGTACTCTGCTAAATTGCTCTTGCACTAGTCTCACAATTTATAGTTTAACAGAATACAAGGGGTGTTGACCGTCCCCAGGCAACATGAAGGTATATGTGACTTGTTTGCAGTTTTAGATTTAGGATTCATTATCAGTACATGATTTATGGGCCATAATTATCTGGACACTAGGAATTCTTAATGAAGGTGAAATGACAAACAGGAAAAGTGACCCTTGTTTTGGACAAAAACTAGAGCAGCATTGCCTTGGGCAAAGTACTCAATAAACAGGTGCAAATAAGAGACAAGAATGACAACACATATTCCACACTACCACCATACCCTGAGGCCTTCTCCTCACTCAAAGCCCATCCCCAAGGACACCTTACTGAAATATAGAAAGTTTGGTCTTCCATTGGCATATTTCAAAAGTTCATGCAGGTGAAGGATGGTGAATCTTGCACCAAAGTTAATGCAGGCATAGGATGATAATATTCCAAGCAAGGAGTCAAGTAAAGTGCAATCTTGCACCCACATTAATACCTTAACATCTTCTCCCCATATACAAAGGAATAATTATTTAGCACATTCCGAATTCTGTCAGTCTTTAAAATTGGGTCATGCAGTTCAAGCACAATCTAGCTTCCCAACCAACCAACCAACCAACCAGGGGGGAGCCTTAGAGTTTTCTCCACTTGAGGTGCCAGGGTTGACCGTCAGACAGAAGACAGAGTTGATCACCAACACACTGTAGAAAAGCTTCTCATTCACTTGGTTTATTGTTTCTTGTTTCTACATTGTGTGCTGGTGATCAACCTGTCTTCTGTCACCCATCTCACTAAAGTCACTGGTTCCCAGAAGCTCGGCAGGACATGGTCAGAGCATCCTGCTCAGCTCCTGACAACCAGTGACATCAGTGAGCTGTGTGGGATGCCGGCCTGAGCGTCACAGGTTGCTAAAGGCTCTTAGCAACCTGACACACTCTGGCCAGAAAGGGGACAGCGTGCGGGGGGGGGGGGGGAGGTGTGCCTGCTGCCCCTCCAATGTGACCCATAGAGATGCCACCTAAGGCAACCACCTCAGGCTGCCTCATAGGGACAGACCTGTTCCCAACCTTGATATTTGAATCTGCCCATATTAAAAGCTGCTCTGTGGCCTGAAAAAAAAAAAAAATTTACAAAACACAAACGGCAAAAGAAGATTAGTAATACTTACCAGTCCAGAACACTTACAGGTGCTTTGGATTCTGAAGATTCGTAGGCCATTATAGCAAGAGAGCAAAGGTAGGATTCACCACATGGCGGAGTGGTAACGGATTGGTAAGTATTACCTATCTTCTTTTGCTGGGTGGTTTCTGTAGTGGGTTTTTTTTAGGTGACAGACTCACTTTAAATAGGGGCAGGTTCATATATTAAGGTGGGGAACATGGGTTGTGCTTAGAGTGTATGATTCTGGGACAGTTAACCACCAGAGTATCTCCTCAACAAAGGGCTCACACTGAGTCAGTGGCTTACCCTTCTGAATCTAAAGCATTTGTTCTGAATAAAGTTTCCGGGACTGTGATCACATTGCCAATTTCCACAATTGCTGAATATTTGTATTTTCTTGCTTCAAGGAGCCGGCTTGGATCTTTAAGCTTTTACTTTAAGATGCAGCCTGCTAACCTAGATGCCATCTTTGCTGCCATTGGCATGCTGCATTATGGTCCAGTCTCAGGTACCTCAGACAGTGACACCACACATCAGAGCAATATAGTGCAGAGTTTTGCCATTGGTCAGCGGAAATGTTGTAGGATGACCCAAGTTGTAGTTACTATCACCAGGGTCTCTCCAATACCATAAAGGCTGAGATTATGAATCATCCCATCTCACACTAATTCGACTTTACAATGGCCTTGGATTTATTAAATGCCTACAAGAATGTAATCAGCAACTATCATTGCATGCCCCACATGCACCTCATCTTCACATGCTGTAAGTCTTGCCACTGCCACCTGTCTCTGATTGCCTGCTCTCTATATCTCTGGAAAAGTCAATGGAAATATAAGGCTATTCTAGTGCTTTGGGGACCTTGCTGCTAGACACTAGTCCACTGTGAGGCATGAGCATTTCATTACACAAACCTCAGTGAACCAAATGCACTGTTATTGTACTAGGTTTGTCAATCCAAAATGGACTCCCACACCCCAAAAAAAGATACTCACATCTCTTTATATTTACATTGTCATGATGACATCATACTGTGACTAACAATTCTATAACAATATAATTGACACTTACAGGGTTATTCACAAAAGGGTGAAGAGTTTGGAGAAGTAAACAATCTAGGCCAAAATAGCTATGTTGTCCTAGATTGTTCACTTCTCATGTATTCTCCAAACTCTTCTCCCTTTTTGAAAAACCCTGTTAGGCCCCATTACCACTAAGCAATTTATAGCGCGATTTCCGCCGCAATATCGTGCATTTTTGCTGCGCGATATTGCGAGAAGTCGCCGGCCAATGCTATTCAATGGAGCTGTCTTAGCTCCATGTCGCTCCAGCAGGACCCTTTTTTCGGTGGAATTTGCACGATTTTTCTATTTTGAATGGAGCCCGACGGTGAAGGTCGCGCTACCGTCACTGGATCGTCGCGCTACCGTCGCCCCGAAAGTTGCACTATCCCGGGCCGCGCGGATCCGCTGCAAAAGGTATGTCGCTTAGTGTGAATGGGGCCTTAATCATTCTCAAGTTTGAAAGAAGCAACACTCATACTGGTTGGCAGCAAACAATGCTAGGTGACACAGTTGTAAATTGTGGCCACTAGATGGAGTTTCCCAGTTCTAATGTAGTTTGATGTTGTAATAAGACATTATGGCCACTAGATGGAGTTTCACAGTCGAATGTAGTTTGATGTTGTAATAAGACATTATGGCCACTAGATGGAGTTTCACAGTCGAATGTAGTTTGATGTTGTAGTAAGACATTGTGGCCACTTGATGGAGTTTCCCAGTCGAATGTAGTTTGATGTTGTAATAAGACATTGTGGCCACTAGATGGAGTTTCCCAGTTTGAATCTAGTTTGATGTTATAGTAAGACATTGTGGCCACTAGATGGAGTTTCCCAGTCGAATGTAGTTTGATGTGGTAATAAGACATTGTGGCTACTAGATGGAGTTTCCCAGTTTGAATCTAGTTTGATGTTGTAATAAGACATTGTGGCCACTAGATGGAATTTCCCAGTTTGAATCTAGTTTGATGTTGTAATAAGACATTGTGGCCACTAGATGGAGTTTCCCAGTTTGAATCTAGTTTGATGCTGTAATAATACCTTATGTATACAATGGGTATGCCTCTACGCTGTATGCTCTACCCTAGTGTGAATTAACAGCTAGCCAGCACTAACAATGTAAACATACATCAAAATAATTAACTTTGTAAAAGAGTACAGCGCTATACAGACGTGACACAATGTGCGAGCGCTAAAGCAATATTTATGCTATATAATTATGTAATCATATAACGCGCTAATAAGCATTCAAACAACTATAATGTGCAGATGAGAGCGCACTCATTTAATAAAAATATTGGTTTATATTGAAAGCACTATGTTTCCCTGTTTCTGCTTGATTTTCCAATGAACGATACCTCATAACAACAGAGGAGAGGACATTCTGATGGTTTTTGTACCTGATTATTCACAACTAAATGAGTTTGGCCTGGAATTAAATCTCTGGGTTGGACATTTGTTAAGCACTTTATTTGATTGCATATATATACTGCACAAATATTGCTTTAATACCTTGTAGCCACTAGATTAAGTTTCCCAGCTTGAATGTTGTGTTGTAATAATACAATATGGCCTCTAGATGCACTTTCCCAGTTCAAATGTAGTATATTGTTGTAATAATACGTTATAGCCACTAGATGGAGCTAAGAAGCATTGGTAATAAAGTAGGGATGCACCGTACTCACCCAAATGCTCAGATGCCTAGCACGAGTACTTCCTGTATCAGGAAGCCGGGCAGCGTGTCGTTTCCTGATTGGCCGGAAGCGACCATTGTGATGAGAGAGCATGGAGCCGGCTTCCCGGCCAATCAGGAAGCTTCCTGATTGGTCGGGAAGCTGGCCAATCAGGAAGCCGGGCGCCGTGTGATGATGCAGCGCCCGGCATTCTGATTGGCCGGCAAGCTGGCTTCATGCATGGAGCCGGCCTCCCGGCCAATCAGAAAGTAGGGCGTCGCGTCATTACACGGCGCCCGGCTTCCTGATCGGCCAGACAGCTCTGGCTGGGTACCGGAGGAAGGCCGCGTTCTGGGGGGTGACAGGCTGGACATACCAAGGTAAGAGGGGACAGACTTTCTTGTTAAACGGGAAGCCGGGGGGCGAATCTTTATACGCTGCCCGCCTTCCCAGCTAATCAGGAAGCCAGGTGGCTAGTCATTACACGCCACCTGGCTTCCTGAATGGGACTTTCATTACTCGGTAATTGGTATCGGCGAGTAACGAAAAAAAGTTATCGGTACGAAAATACCGGTATCGGTGCATCCCTAGAAATAAGTATTTGTTTCCTATGCTCCTCAGCTTCATCTGTTGGCCACAATGTATTACCAAATGAGCAAACTACATTTGAACTGGTAAACTCCATCTAGTGGCCATAATGTATTATCACAACAAGAAAATACATTGGAAATGAGAAACTCCATCTAGCGGCCATACTGTATTATTACAACAAGAAATTACATTCAAACTGGGAAAAATATATTAAGAACAATCGTTTTTGGCATTATTCACCCAAAAACGAATGTTCACACATTTGCAAAGGGCAATGGGCCCTGCAAATTGTTTATAAATCGATCCCTAGATCATGTGGTTGTCTGACAGTTGTAGGAACCACAGCATTTTAATAAGAAAATAGCAGTGAATGTTCTATACATCCTTTTTTGAATAGTACATTTAAAACGAGAAACACACAGTCCAACAGAACTCATAGAGGGTAATTAATCAAAACTGGATCAGACAAAATCTGGCCCAGCAGTGCATGACAACCAATCTGCTTCTCTCATTTTCAAATCTTAACTGAACAAACTGAAGAGAGAAGCAGATTGGTTGCCATGGGCAACTGCTCCAGTCTGTCTGCTCCAGCTTTTATAAATTCCCCTCATAATATACTGTAGATCTAATTGAACTGCAGAGGTTAATAAAGGACTCACAGTGAAAACACTGTAAGATGTGGGCTCATGGTAAGGTTTCAGTCATTTTTGCTGACTGAAAGGATAATTGCATACGTGGGCACACAGCGTAGAACTGAAAGCATTTTCTTAGTACGGTTTATAAAAAAAGTCTTCATAGGTAATTCATTTTGAATTAAACATTTGTTTTCAATCAGCTTACTAAAAATACAAAGATTCTGATTTACTAAAGTCGTTCAGCCTCTTTCACACATGTGTTGTAGAGAATGGTTAGATAGACACCGAGCACTGCCCAATGTCCTATCTCCGCAAGCAGTGGACCCCATTTTCTAGAAGAGGTAATGTTAATTTCAAATATACTTTTAAAGGGTATCTCTGGTCGAAAACTAAAACTAAATATGTATTTATATATTGAATTTCCATAAGTTCTATCCCACTCCTAAGAACCATATCGGTTTTGAAGTTTGTTAACTTACTTATTGAAGGTGCCCATAGGATGTACTTCCTCAATACACTGACACAATTTCACTCCTTGTGTCACAATTCACAGTGCCTGTCTTCTGAAATACAACTCAATGTCTGAACAATTAACATTATCATTACTTGCTGGAAGCAATGCATTATGGGCTATGTAGTCTTGAGAAATGGAGATTGCATCATATCAAGCAGCAGAGAAAGAGACGCAAAGCACACTGGGAATCCAGGAAGTTGTTGAAAGTGATGGGCAGACAGAAGGCAGCGTTCACTAGATAAAGGGGATTTTTTTCAAGTAAGCTTTGATTGTATTATCAAAAAGAACTCTAGTATGTATTCCTACTACAATGCTGATGTTACAACAGGATAGTGCATGCTCTGAATTTAGAGTCTTATTTACAGGGGCGTGCACATCCATACAGAGTGTATACCCGTGCACAGACGTGCAGCTACCTGTACATCACTATGGGAGGATGCGGCTGTACGTAGCTACATGTCAACCCAGGCCTGCACATGCAGATAGTGTGTGTCCAAGTGGGGGCACCCGGATCCAGGTGTGTAGCCGTATGCAGCTGTGTCCTCATAGACATATACAGGTGGCTGCGTGCAATTATACACTGCATC